ACCTTTGGGATGAATCAGAGTGGACACTGTGAGCTAGGGCTTCTCCTCCAACATTTATATGCACGTGAAGGCAGATGAGCAAATACTTTTGGCAATATAGTGTATGTTCACTAGATTTGTCCCAGTGTAAGTGTAACCCAGTGACCTGCGACGTGCAGTAATCAGCACAGCTGTTTCCATTTACAGCTCTGTGTGTTTTGGTTGGCCCTAACACCACCCTGGTTTAAACGGAAAGTGGGTGGGGCAGAGTGCATGCCTGAGATGGTCACATCAGGGATGTGGACTCACTTTGAAATTATAAAGATTGATGAGTTTTAAAAAAATGCCTCAACTAAGCTTGTAACGTGTAACAAGACATATGGATCTCAGAAAACAAGTAGAATTGACTTAAAATCCTATTTCCCAAAACACCTCACTTCACTGACAAACAAGTTGTGTTTATTGTTTTTTTTAAAAAAGGTACAAAAATAAATTATATCCTTCTACGTTTCCTCTTTTACACTCAGCCTCAGACAATACACATAGTCATTACGACATCCGACTAGTAGTGAGCTTTCCCACACCACCGGGGATGAAAACAGCTCCCCGGGAAAGGTATGCGAGGCCAACATCCGTCCGTCTTTTCCATCCAGGATCCAGACTGTGCCGTCAGTGGAGGCCAGGCCCACCAGTGAACCCCTTCTCCCCACAGCCGAGCCGTCAAACACAAATGGGCTGGAGTACACCTTGCCTGTCGTCTGAAAAGTCCAAATCAAAGAGCCATCTGCACAATTCAAACAGTACAGGCAACCGTCATGTGATCCACACAGAAGTCTCTGCTGGTCTGACGTGATGCATGGAGAGGAGAAAACTGGACCCTTTGTTAGAAACTGCCACAGCTGCAAATACACACAAGGGTCATACAGTTATGAATTACAGAGAGGATTCAGAAAATAGCCAGGCCCCTTCCCCTCTTTTCACCATACGAGAACATTCGAATGTTGGCGTAATGAATGGTTGTGACTTTAATGTAAAAAAAACCCAAAATTGCTCATTTACAAAATGCAAAATCTATAACAAGTGAGCTCCTTACAAGTTTCCCTGTGTTGCTGAAGCAGCAGATGTGTCCATCAACTGAGCCGATCACAACGTGCTCAGAGAAGCAGTTTGGTGAGGAGAAGAAAGGAGTATCTCTGCAGTAAGACCACAAGACATCTCCACTGTCCTGGGAAAGAGAAACACACGTGAGACATATAGGGCCATCACTCTTATTATTCTCTTTTTTTAATGTTTTATAGTCAGTAGCAAATTTCTCTTTTGAGACGAATGTGCACATAAGGGAAAGAGGAAGGCCACAGAGAAAGTTCATGAATGTAGTGAAAATGGACATGCAGAGGGTTGACGTGACAGAGGAGGATGCTAGCGATAGTGTGAGATGGAGACAGATGATCTGCTGTGGCGACTCCTAAAAGGAACAGCTGAAAGATGAAGAGCTTTCTCATTTTAAACGTTAAACTAACACCCTCAAAGTCATCATAGAAATATTTTTACAAACATTTTTGATTCAAACAGACTCGTGCCTCTTCCTTTCTCATTTCCACTTGTGCACCAAATGGCAAAACGACCTTCACTTACGATGCTGAGACAGAGCAGGCGTCCTCCCAGCGAAGCCGCGTACACCTGACGGCGTGACGCGTGAAGACGTGGGGAAGAAAACACAGCTCCTCCACCACAGTGACACTTCCAAACACACTTCTGAACCTGAAAACAGAAAACAGAGCGTCTGCTTCAAACACGCCAGACAGGTATCCAGCAACCATCAATCTGTGACTTTTCTGAATCATTCGAGTCCTTGTGTCTCTTTGCATCGAGCACTCACCTCTGAGTTTAGGGCGTAAACGTACCCATCGTGTGAGCCCACTACCACCAGACCAGTGAGAGGATCCACAGCAGGACAGCTCTTCACAGCATCTCCCGTCTCAAACACCCACTGTGTCTTTCCAGTTTCAGTGCATAAAAAATACACACAGCCGTCATAGCATCCTGAGAAAGAACCCCCCCCCCCAAAAAAAGATATAGAAATATAAAGTAATAAAATCTCCTGAACATTAGGTATTCACAAAGCTGACACTTACCTATTACAACAAGGGCGCCACAGTGAGACACGGCAGCAGAGGCCTCGATTCTGTCTCCAAGAACTCGCTCCCACATTAGGTTTCCGGTGGCGACGTCTAAAGCCTGGATCCTGTGGGAGTGTGAGCCGATAAACACTGTTGCTTTGAACAAATCTGACCTGTGGTCAGCTCCGTTTTGTACTAGAAGCACCGGGGAGGCGTCCACACATCTGCCTGTGTCTGAGGACCAGCTCAGACTGAGGCCCAAATCAGCTTCTCCACAAGACTCCCTTTCTCCAAGAAGTTGATTCTGCACTGTTTTATCATCTTCTGTATATCTGATGTTCATCTCTATCACCTCGCCCCCTCTTCTTATGACTTTCACAGCCTGTTTCTCCACCTGCAGACTCTCAGCTGCTGTCCAGTCTTTGCGCACTCTCTTTTCTAGTACCTGAGACGTGGATTCGACGTGCCGTCTCTTGGCCTGAGACGGCGTTGACTGGCTGTTCTCATGCTCCAAGATTCCTCTTGCTCTGGCAACATGATTCACGATGTCAGAGAAGGTCCCATCAAGTATAACCTCCAGCAGCTCTGGTGAGGTCACTCCCACAGCAGTGAGGATGTCTTCACAGAGATGCAGAGCCTTCAGAGAATCTCCTCCGCTGAACAGGAACTTGGACTTCTCGTCAATGGCAACATCTACAGCAAGATTTAAAGTATCCTGTTGATAGATAGTTTAAAAGAGAATGAACATAAGGAGACAACAGTTTATTTAAATTTAGAGCATGAATGTTGTCATCAAAAATGAAAATACCCGCCACAGAGTCTGAAGAATTTGCCTCAGTTCACTGCGATTTCTCTGTGAAGACTCTAAACACTGTCTCTGTTTTTCATAAACTCTGACTAATGCCTCCATGTTGACTTTGCCTATCAGAAAACGACAGTTAGAAAGGTGAATGGATCAAGTGGTGAATGAATTAGCTGCCGTTTCTCCTCAGCAGTGACAGCGTGTCTAAAGCTCACCATGAGCAGTCAGGCATAAAGCCGGGACGAGCACCAGCGTGTCAGGAACGCTGTGAGCAGGCAGCAGCAGAGACAGCTGGCTCAGAATGAGCTTCTTCAGATCTCCGTCTGCACCGCCTGACTCCTCCAGGGGGGGGTTGACAGAAGAGGGTAGGTTCTCAGCATGCTCACCAAAAGCACAAGCAGGGGGAATTTGTTCTGCACGTTGCTGTACAGACGCGGAGGTGGAAGCTGCCTTCTGGTGTCCAGATGTGGATGCCACGACAAAGGCGAGAAGTCGAAATCCTTGGTGCAGACCCACGGCGCAGGCTTCCACCTGAGGGAGACTCAGCAGGACCTGCAGGAGGGGAGATGAAAATCAAAATCATAAAGGTGTTAAAAAGATGTTGAAAAGGTATTTTGTTTACAAAGAATTAATGAAAAGTATCCACATTAAAGTACAGCATTAAGAAAGGGTGCCACCAGTTTAAAAACGCAATTATTAATCAGCTAAAACTGCTTTTCTCTTGTTTTCTCTCTTTTCCTTATTGCTGTGCATATGTGACAAACGGAAAAAAAAGGCTTTAATTGTTTTTAGTAACAGTGAATCTGAGTGAGGAAACTGGTTTATAACAGAGCCACCAGATTTCTTTAGGGTGGGGGTTAAGGATTCAAATCTTTCCTTTAATTTACCACAATCAGAACATCAGCTTTGCCTTCAGTATGTTAAAAGAAAAGATCCAGTTGAAGTGGCTCGAGAAACTGACTAAGGCGCTTCCCAGTTGAGGTATTCCAGGCATCTTCTAACACGAACAGGCCCTTGGAGCAGACTCAAGCCAGGCAGAGAGATTATATTTCTTGGCTAGCTTGGAAACACGTTGCTACAACTCTGACTGAGCTTGGGGAGGGTATTCTGGGGAGGTGGTCAAGCTCATCCCTCAGAAACCAAGGTCTGGGCTTCTCTGCTGACCCTGTGACCTGGATAAGACGTAAAAGTTGTTGGATGTTAAAAGCACGAGTGGTGTGTGTTCCTTCATGTGTCAGTCTTGGTCTAACATGAGGCTAAGCCAGTGGAATTATTTCTGTTTT